TAAATTGTAGGCCAAATATTAAAACTTCACAAGATTTTTAACTTATCTACAATGGACCTTCATTTCTCATTCAAACTAACTCTGATTTTGACAAGTAGCTACACTCAATTATAGTGCTTACGGTAAAGATTCCATCGTGCCCAAAATATGGTCATTCCGATGAACGTCTCCACCGAAAAACATACCGGAAAATGGTCTAAAACTATTTCGTCATATAAGTTGTCACATTAGAATTAATGGTCGTAATTAATATAAAAAAGACAAAAATCAAAATGGTGAAAGACACGTTCCTCAAAATTTCACTTTGTTGAAACCTTAAAATATTATATAAGATTTTATGATGTTTTAATTGTGTAATTTAAATTTAAAATATAAAAATAAATTAAGCCAATTAAGAGAAGACATATGGCATATGAATCTCTCATCAAGATACCATAGTCTCTCATTTGAAAGATTTTTTCATTATGTCTGTTCCTATATTCTAGTTTTATTAATTTCTTGTTGTGAGAAGCTCTCGAAGAGACTTCGAATGCAAATGCTCTTAGAGCCTGAATTTTTTTATTAGATTGTGAGTGAGGATCTGAGAGATGAACAAATAAAATATATCTAAGAAACGAAACGATTTTGAATCGTTGGATCCGAGTTATGATCTGAAATTTAATTTGAAATTTGTTGAGAATAATTAAAACATTGTTGATGTTGGGGAATCTTTTAAGGAGATGGTGAACATTCATACCCATACTAAAATTGCACTCCTCAGTTCACGTCTTCTTAAACTCTTTGACATCACGGTTACTACCAAAATTACTGTAGACAAACATTTTTCTTATAGTTTATTCCGGATCAAATCTTTTTAATGTTTGGGTAATTCGAGACAAAGAATTTGGAATTTTAGATGGTACCAAACATGTATTGAAGTCCCAATAAAATTTAATTTTGAAATTGCGTTGCTTGGTGGTCGAGTAAGCCATGAAGGGGCGAATGAGAATGAGAAAAAAATATTAGAGCATCTTCATCCATGAGAGATTAAAAAAAGTCTCTTAATAATAAAATACTAATAATTGAATGATGT